GTGTAGCCCAGCCCATTCATGAGAAAAAGAGAGAATATAATCTTTCCGATACAATCTTTTTGGATGCTTATTAAATCTTTGTTAGTGATGAGATACATGATCATGGACACATTATAAAGTTGATTAGATTTGAAAAATATAATGGCCATTTCTGTATCCCCCCTATATGAAAAGAGCCTAACTGAATTAAGCAATTATACAAAGATAGCTAATTAAGTATTTGTTTAGAACTTGAATAATTTTAGCTCAGATGTTTTGTAGCTGAATGTTTCTTTTGGGTGCCTGTACCATCATCAAAGAGCAAATAAACTGATTACACCACATAATACAAAATGCCTGTAAAAGTCTAATTTTATTTTGCCCTTCCTGAAATTTAAGCGAAGGAACACAACAAAACTGCTGAAGTATGAAGATCCTATACACAGCATCTCTTCTCCCCTACTGTGTGTCAGAACCACCTGCCCCATTCCTAACCTACTGAGCATTCTATTTAAATTAAAATGTATGAGAACTGATGCAAATTTATAACAAAGAGGATTTCACACTCTCACACTCAATCATCATGCCAACACATAGAGAATGGCCCACTTATATTTGTTCCCTAGTTTAGGGTTGTTCCTGAAAACTCTCACTCTTACGAACAGTCCTTCTTCATGACAGTCTGAATAAATTAAATTAATCCTGTGAGTGGAGGTTTTCAGTATTAGGCATACGGGGCTGTACTCTTAAATGCTACCTCTTGGTGGTCATGTCTCTGCAGATATAGTTACACTGATGACTGGCCATGCAATTATTCAGTTGCATCTTTTTCACCATATATGTTTTTAAAGAATTGCATTCCCTACATTATCTATCTATCTATCTATCTATCTATCTATCTATCTATCAGATTTGTACATCTGTGTGTCTGTCTGCAAGTTCGTTTGTTCAAGCACTCCTAAATGGTAAAAACTAGGGCCACCACATTTGGAAGCTTCCCTTTCTCCTAATTTAAGGCAAGGTCAGAGTTTAGTTGTTCCAGGACAACTGGAAGAGCCAGAAAAGGGACTGTTTTCCATAACATGGAAAGGGAGGGGCACAGAGAGAGACATGATACTGAGAGTGGCCAGTGGGGGACAGTGAGCCCACAGGGGAGAGCTATCCTGCAGAGTGTGTGTCCACTGGGGGCAGCTGCACCATCAAAAGAGTGGACAGCAGGGCTGGGACTCTGCCATCTTGCCTGCTGACACACCAGGTAAGTAGTGCCCTGACCCAAACCCTTTTCTCCCATCCCAGTCCTTGGCCACAGCACAGGAGGGGAGGAAGAGAAAAGGCCCCGGTGGCTGGAGGGGGCTAGGTGGAGAAAAAAGGCCCCTGAAAGCTGGGAGGGAGGCTAGGGGTAGGGTGGAGAGAAAAGGCCCCTGGCTGCCAGGGAGGTCTGGGGGAAGAGAAAAGGCCCCTGGCAGTGGAGGGTGGGTCTGGTGAGAGAGAAAAGGCCCATACTGCATGGGACCCCCACCCTGAAATCCTCCTCACCCCCCCAACCCTCAGTCTCACAGCCCCCCTCCTCAGCTTCCTGCAATGCCCTCCCAACATCCCCAAGGGCCTGCTTTGGATTCTGCACCCCCACACCGTCAGCTCCTTGTCCTGAAGGACGTGGGCAATGCTAGATAAGTCTTCTAGTAATAATAATAAATACTTTTCAACTACTTACACACTTACTTCATCAGAACCATCAGAAGAAATGTGTAGAAGTTTTAACAAATAAAGTATTTTTCACTAAAGCATAAGCGTTATACTTTCATTTGGCTGTTCAGTTCACCTCCAGCTGTTTTTCTAGAATATACATGCAAAAACACACAAACAAAACAAATGACTAGATTCTGACATAAGAAACTTTCACCACTTTAATTATCCAAACTTGGGTTTACCAACATTATAAACTTAATAGAATGTTGAGATTCAAACAATCTGACTGTCTTGAGTACAGAACATCAATTCTCTAGCCATGCCATCTACACATCCTTTGAAACTACATCAATCATTACCTGCCCCTCTCCATTTACCTATTTCTATTTACTATTTTGGGTCTATAATAGCATGAATGACCTTGGAGCAAGGCAATTCTTTGGGATTAATGTCTCAGTGGAGTTAATGGATAGGGGCATTCCTTGTCGATTATTAAACTCCAGAAAATATCTTATCTCTCAATCACTGGTAGGTAAGTTTGGCTCTCTATCTTAATTACACAGCTTTTAGTTCCAGTAAAGAATAATTTTTAAAAAGGCAAATATCCACATTGCACAACTCTGAACTAATTGTAACTAAAACACAAAATTAAGATAACTTAGAATTTTCCGGTCCATATTCCAAAAATAGTTGTCTTGACACAACTTACTTACATCCTGCTAAGCAATTTTGCTTTATGCCACTCAGTGTTCGTTAGAGGCAGACAATCATCTCCATACTTCTCTGATTGGTTTAGAATGTGAAATTCCATGTCACTACTTCCAAAGGCAGCCATGTTACTTTTTCTGGGAAATCAGAATAACGTGTTTTTGCGTACCGTATATTTTTATTAAGATAAAACGTGATGACATAACTAAACAACATTTAATTTTATTCAATTCAGGCCCTTCAAAATGTGTGCATATGTGCTCACATATTTCTGAAAGTAGCTTTTTCAGATGCACACATCTACCATATTGTACCACCATATCTGATTGTCAACTTTAGGGAAGAATATAGCAGAGATAGGAAATTTCAATAAGTGGGATTTGTGAACACAACCTCAAAAACCATGAAAAGACCCAGCATCTCAAAACACAATGCAAACCCCTCAGAGATAGATGTAATGCATGTAACGTTTCATGTATTTACTTGTTAGCAAAATGTTGCCAGACAAATAACATTTTGATGTTTCCTCAAGCAATTTTTGTTCTAACAAATGTCAAAAACCATAAGTTAATGAAGAATCTAAAAATAAACCCCAAAGACAAAAGTGAAAAAATTAAAGTCTTTACATTCTACATGCAGAGTGATGCTTCTTTCAACTTCATCAAGACCACTTCTGTGACACCAACAAGAAATTAGCCAATAAAGAAATTCATTTCTTCTATTAAGAAACAAAAAAATCTTTACTCCTTTCTGCTGTCATTAGCACTTTTTAAACAACCAGTATCTAAGGGTATGTCTACACTACCCCGCTAGTTCGAACTAGCGGGGTAATGTAGGCATACCGCACTTGCAAATGAAGCCCGGGATTTGAATTTCCCGGGCTTCATTTGCATAAGCGGGGCGCCGCCATTTTTAAATCCCCGCTCGTTCGAACCCCGTGC